GGTAAAAGATGCAACTTCCAAGAGGGTCACTAAGAGTGTCATTAGGATAATTAATATAAGTCATGTTTGGGACAAGTTTAATTAATGGGTTTCTGTCTTGGATAAAACATTAGATCGATTCTTAACATGTTTGCATTTGGGCCTGTATTCCCCCTATCTTTGTGGTTTTGTGGTGCCCTTGTTGTTTGTGAATATAGTCTACATAAATTAACCAATCTCTAGTTGGTATTTTATTGATTTATTCTGACAATATGTGAACATTTAATAATCATATACATGTATCATGACTTAAGGAAGACAGTCATTTGAATAACAATTATGTCTGAATCCTTGTATTGGTAATGATTTATTCGCACCTGTGATTTGAGAAATTTACCAGGTAGATGGAAACCACCATGTGGGAGATTCTAGCTAATAATGTAAATGATTTGTTGTAATAACATGTAGTTTGAAATGTTTTAATATGCTCTGAATGACGGACTATGTTTTTGAAGTCTTATATAGATAGATAGAAACTATTTTAAATTACTATGTATAAATAATGAAAACGATTGCCGTTTACAATATATTGCTGACTTTTAAATATGTGAATAAAGTTGTGTGTTATTTGATGAAGATGTTTTGACTTTATTTTTAAAAACTATAATCTAAAAGAAACAAGTGTGCTTCATGTACTGAAGAATTTGCTGTGTGTAGGGGAGATGCCCATGAAGTTACTTTTCAGACACTGTCACACATACACATAAATGTATTCTGAGTAGGTCATGTTTAAAGGGACTTCACGAAGGTTTTTTTTTACATAACCGGACTGGAAATAATTTTCTGAGATTAATGTTCCATTTGACGCAGGTCAAGACTAATAACTTGTGTGCAAAATTTCAGATAGGTTATACTTATCATCCTGTATCATAATTGTGAAAAATGGCCTAAAATTGAAAAACGTTGCAGCACTTAACGTCTTCTATCCGCCGCCTTCTATCAGTCGCCGTATTACCTACACTGTCTTGATGACAAAAAGTATAATATTGCTCACACAGTTATAGGTGAATTTTAAAAGTTGTAATAATGTTCATATACATGTATACAGCAACACAGCATATATTTATTTCATTAATAAGAACAAATTGGGGTGTTATATACACGTATATTTTCCTTTCACGTTCATATCCACGCATAGGGTAAGAAATACAACGCATACGACACATAAAATATTATACACTTTTATTACAATGATAACATTATTCAAATCTTTCATCAATATAGTACATGTATAAGATAGTGTGGTCATATATGTATACATACACATTAAACAAACTTTGATGTTGACATTGATTGATTAACGCATATAGTATTATTTCTTGCAATTTTTTTTTAAAGTTAAAATTTAAAATTTAAGGTTTTCACGGGCTGTAAAAAATTTTTAAATGTAATTACGGGGAAAAGTGCATGCCCCATAGAATTTTTTAAATTCAATATAAAAAAGAAAAATTAAATTGGGTTTAAATTTTTTAGGAAAAAAAATGATAAAGTTTATTTTTAAAAATATATCACTTTTTTAAAATTCTGTTTAAACTTTAAAAAATCCACATGTTCATGAACTTTTTAAAAAATTTTTTTTTTAAGAAAAAATTCTTTTTTTTAAATTTTAAAATGGGAAAAATATAAGCGTTTTTTCTTAAATAAAAAAGAAAAAACCAGCTATCACTCATTTTTTTGTGAAATAAAATTTAATCCCTATTCATCACCCTTTTATAATACTTTTACAACTGCCCTTTTAATTTCCTTTTTGCCCCCTACCGTCCCCCCCCGGGTGGGTTATAAAACCTCCCCCCATGTTTTAAATCTACTGACCAGTTGTCCACAATCTTGTATTTTCTAAGTGTACCCCGCCGCCAAATGTTGATATAAAGTTTTTTCTTCTGTAATTCGTGTTCTTTGACGTTCCAACAGTAAGCGCATTTAAGTGTTCTAGAAGATCCGACTGGTGGAATCTTGTCTCTTCTTATTTTATCGTTCCCAGGCATCATCCATATTTTTGTGTAAAATGCGTTCTTTTCTTTATGAATTCCTCTTTGTGAATTGTCATCCCTGTGTATCTCGATTTTCAAACGGTTAGTTAGAACCATATACTGAACCGTGCATCCAAAAGCATTTAGGTGCGTTTTGTTTTGATTTTCGCCTGTACCGTTTTTATTTGATTTATTTTGAAGAGACGCCATTCTAGTTTTCTCGTGTACTCTCCGTTATTATTTTCACAGAACTGGTTGCTCGAACAACTAGCTGGATGTAGAATAGATTTGTTAGGTTTGACAGAAAGGTTAGGACCATTCCCATTGATTAACAACATGCATGACGTACAAATTTCACGTCTAGTTGACTAGAATATGTTCAAGGGATGAACATTGTCTATTGTCTGACTGTTTTCCGGTGTAATATTATTTTTTGACCTCGATGAAAAAAACGACAATCAGAATTTCATTTTGATCAAAAAGTCGTTGTGATTTGATCTGCCGTTAAATATTAATCGATACGGGGTCGGTCTTTTATCGACTAGCGCTTAACCATTGCCAGCGCCCGAACCCTGCCAAAATTTACAAAGAAAACAACATAAAAAAAAACAAACAAAAAAACAACAACAACAAAAAAAACAAAACAAAAAAAACCCCAGCAATTACAATGGACACAACTGTGTTTCACATTTTGTATCTATCATGACTCAGCAACTACTTTATCTGGCTAAAAATTCAAAACATTCTTATTTTCTAAGATATTTATTTTTGTGGCTCATTTCTTGTCGCTATCTTTTTAATTTTCTTGCGTATATGAAGTTTGTAACCTGGAAACAATACGTTTACAAAAACCAGGCGATTAGCTGTTCATTTAGCATGAAACTTTAATATATCGTGAAAACCTCATTAACAATATTATCATTTTCATAGCATACATCGTGTATTTGAAAAGGACAACAATATATTAAATCTCCAATATTTTCTGTTGCTATACTGCGTGACCTGTGGGATACGAAACACGCGCATTTTTACCCGATTCAGGCATGTTTTTATTTCTCGTTTTTTGTTTTTGTTCCAATTTGTTATTTCTTTTAAAATGTAATGTTTTTTTTCCAAGTGCTCAAAGCAACATGAAATTAAAATGCAGGGACACCTAAGATATTTCATTTTGTGCTTCGAAATCCTATACTTCATTACCGTTATTTCAATTTATCAACCACGTATATCTCACTGAAAAAGTGAAACTTGAAATGGATGTTTCTTTTATGAAAATTATTATTTTTTAATTAAATACGATAGCAATTTTATTCTTCTTTCAAAATAATCAAGTTTTCATGAAATTGTAAAACACGATACTAGATTGGTTTGCAACATTTGCCAGTTTTTTTTCTGTACAAATACTTTAAATATCATCGCCTTATATCTACCCATGCAGCTTGTAATTACATAGCCAAAGTCTGAATAGCATCTTATTTTCAGAAACCATAAGGAAGTCAGACTTAATATATAACACGTGATATTGTTTATCTATTAGAGAAATACTATTTCGATACTCTTAAACCATACTTGACATAAAGAATATATTTTAGTCTCGATTTCAAAATTATGCTCTCTACAAATGAAAAGAAATTAAAACATACTTGGAGCTAACACATTGTTTAAAGTGGCGCATGTCGGGGATTCGTGTAAGGTTGGTACGCAAAGTAACCTTATAAGGGTTTTCCTTTGACTTTAATAAATCTTACTACAAACTAGCTGTACCACGAAACCATGCAGAAGAGGTCCTGTATTTCTTATATAACTTTATATTTGAAAATGAATCATGAAAAAATTACAAAGATTCAATTTTCCACTTATTTTAAGAACTACTGGAAAATGGCAAGAAAAAAATAAGTGTACCTAGTATACAATAAAAAAAACACATTTTCTATACATTACGAACGGATGTCAAAACGGCAAACCCTTAGTTCGATACATTTGCAATAGTAAATCTAAAATATCTTTCACATGTATATATATTTTTGTATGAGACAGTGAGAAAGAACAGAGGACTCGCTAGGCGTCGCTTGTTGTTGTTTTTTAATTTCAAGCATGTACTGTTTCTCTTGGTCGTAACTATACGACTAAGTACTAAGTCAACTGTTCTCAAAAACCATTCAGTGGTTTCATAATATTGATATAAATTGAGTAGCTTTTACAATTACGGGTATTCTACGCATTATCTCGTCAAAACTGGTATGGGTAACAACAAAGATAATAATAAAACACACACAACTGATCCCGCAAAAAATGCACGTGTTCCGTATGCTAAAGGTCACTCCATGGTACTGTCACATTGGTATCTTTAGAAATATTAAATGATCACATTTTTAGTTAATCTATAAACGTGCGAAATATGCGGTATTTCACAACAGGAGAACACATTTAAATACAAAACAAAAACAAAAAAGATAAACAAAAAAAGAACAACTTATCAATGTAGAGCACACCTCAAAATAAAACAGTACCCATTTCAGTCACAATGCCATGCCGATCACGTGTACGTTTTTGTAATCATTTAAATTATGCATTCTTCTAGACTTTGACCATGTTACCGAGTAAATAATAAACGTCACAGAAATTGTAACACTATACCATACCTAAGTTTCTTATTTTATTTGTGTTTGTACTTTACCCTCTGGTTAACGGCAGCAAGCCACATTGAATTCAATAGACCACAGTTATGTTACCGCACCGTTATCTGGGCAAGCTTGCAAGCAAGTTAACAAGTGCTATAGTTTTTTTTCACTTTCGCGCGGGGATTGTCATCGTCGGATACTCCGACCGAACCATTAAAATTTATTGATTACATGTTATATATGTTACATGTTGATTAACCGTGGATATCCGACGGTGGGGGATTGCGAGTTACTCCAGTTCATGCCAGAGAAAGGATTTCATGATTGGTATTTACAAGATCAGCCACAAAATTTATTTATAAGTGACACAATCCAGCTTTTATTTGTTAATCATTTATTTCCGTGTAAGTAAAGCTTATAAAGCAAAATTACATAAAGCTTATAAAGCAAAAGTACAGAGTGTCAAAACTTTAATTTTACATAGTGCATACATGGTTATAAACCGTTTTTAATGCCCGTTTGAATACTCATGCAGTTTCTACATTGAGCTATTGTATAAATTGTTTTGTATGATAAAATTATTATTCATGAGATCTAGATGTATAATCAGGCCATGCTACATGTAGTTAAACTAGTGTTTCCTTCTTAAATCTAAGCACCAAGTAAGATGCTAGCCTGATTAACGCAGTATAACACAAAATAATTATGAAAATCACATATGGTGGTAAAAAAACGTTTGATTGTTCTAGAATGTCTTCTGAAGTAACAAACAAGCTCGCGTTGTGGTTGCATTTCGGAAATTCATCTATTTTGGTCTGGTTGCAACTGAAATAATATAACAGTCATAATTATATAAATTAATCTAATCTTGTAATCATTGCAAACTAAGGGTATGTTGTTTTTTGCAGCGATTTTACATTTTAGGCAATTTCTGTGAAAATATTTCTCTGTATTTAACGTCAAATTACTTTCACTGGGTAGAGGTGACCCAATGGTTATAAGGTAAATGCATCTAAATCCATAGATAGTGTCTTCTGTCTGGTAGAAGCAGTTTGATTTATCATATGACATACTGGCGTGAAGCATTTTCGAGAGTGGTACAAAAATGCGCCATGTTTCAATCAAAATCGAAATAAAACTTGCAATTTATGTTTGACACTTTAACAATAACTTTATTACTTTTGTTTGTAATTTATATACTTATATATGCTGTATACTCACGGAATGTCATCTATACCAGATACTATCAGTGTTATTGTATATGCATAAGGATAGTAGAACAGGGATACATATTTGATCCATTCCATCCATATAGGAACATTTCGGGAGAAAAATCCACCTGTAAAATTTAAACAGCATTTTAAAATGACGAACATAATTATACAAATGTTTGATAATTAATATGTTTTATATACCATGTAATTACCACGAGCTTGCGTCATGAATCAGATTTGTTACTTAAATGTCAAGAAAAAGTCTGGGATAATCGTTACAAATAAACTAAAATATTCTCTTAAAAGTTCCACTGGACTTTTAAGCAGTAATTCGTTACAATAAATGATATGTTAAAGGCGGGAATATTTATTAAAATATTAACCTTTTCTTAAAAGATATCATCAAAAATAAAGGTATTGTAAAATCTTAAATGTGACATACCTAATAAGTAAGACGAAATCAGGTAGCTAAACAATGTTGTTATAGCCATCCGGAGATCCTTGCACAGTACCGACAGAAATTGACCAAGTCCAAAACAAGCAAACGCTTGTAAAAGGTTTATGATTAAAGCAGGAAACAATTCAGCTGGACCACCAAAACCTCCGATCCAAAAGAATAACACAAACATAACAACTGGTTGGATAAAAAGATCTGGTAACACACTTGTCATGGTAGAGCAGAAGTAGGCACTTAACCGGTACGCACCGGACGCTCGTTCTTTTATTATCACGGGACGTTCTGCAGGATCTATAAACCAAAAATAAGTTATGTTGTATGGAAAATATGTTGTATGGAAAATAAACAGACATCAGTAAACCAATAAGTCATTTTTTACAAAAATGTTTTCTCTGTCATTTACATGTATATTATTTCTTGGTTCTTGAAAGATAAATTATTAAAATTATTTGATATCGAATATTTTAAATTCAATCAAACTATTAGTCCTTTCCTGCATTTTAACAACAACGTACAGTATACCAAATCAATTATTGAAGAATTTATTAGGCTATATTTTACTAGACCGACAAAATACGTATATACAGGTATCCGATTTCTTAAATAAAATATACATATACAACATTATGTTAGTGTGCTAACAAATACATGTACATCAATATACTTTACTTACAGCTGCTTATTACAGTCATGGCAGGTATAAATGTCCAGTAACCAACATAGAAGAACATCTGAAAATGAAGAGAAATGAATTGATTACACAGCTAGAAAAATCTAGTGTTTGTTATTTTTCAAAGAATGGTCTCTTAAAGATTTATGATTCTGTGACTAAATTGACAGCAATTAAAATGACGAGTAAATTGTCAATCTTATAGATAACAAGAACACCTTACATATAATGAAAGGACATTTTCTAAATTCATAAAATCAAAAACCAACAATGTCATCAACAACAGCATTATTATATTACAATAACTTGACAAACTTGTTAAATTACCAGACCAAAGACGTCTCTTGACGTTTCGTAACTGACGCCAATTCGGAAATAGACGAGTGAGCAAAGGACGGTCACAATAGCAGCTTGTGTTAGAGTATAGCCTTGTTTCAACACGCCAATCGACTGTTTCAAACCTCTACCGGCCAGAGCTTTGTACTGGGTAAACCAGCCTGTGGTCCAACGATCTTCATGCCTACCTAAAATAAGGTATTTGTCTCCGGAACCTTATGAAAAATATTAATTCTTAATTTTATACTTATTCTGTAAAGACATTTAATCGCCTCATCCTGGTGATAATCAACAGATCAAATTTAAACATATGCCGATTGCCAAAATTAAAGTAAACCGGAAAAGTTAAACCTCATAAACTGACAAAAGTAGAAAAACGTGAATGTAATTATACTAGTACATGTATTGCAGTAAATTTGAGTAAATAGTAAAATATGTGTAAAACAGTTAATACGTGTAAACAACCGTACTATTTAAATGTAAAATATCTTTCTGATTTTACTACAAACGCGTAGGGATAATAAAATATTTAATACTTTGCCAAAAACGCATTTCAAACTGAATATTTGTCGTTGATCGGCTATTAGAAATAAAAATAAAAGGTGGAGATGATGTTAATGAAATTCCCGTATTTAGAATTCGTTCAATAAAATGTTTGTCAGGAAGTAATAAACACGTTTTGAACGAACACGTGACTGACAATATACTATACCATGCGTTTTTTCTGGCTGAAGATCAATGCTAACACGAGTTTCTTCTAGAAGACTGTCAGTATCAGAGTCGGATATCTTCAATTCATCTTTTTTGTCTTTCCAATTGCCCTGTCTGTTATTAGAAGTTATATCGTTGTTGCTTGATGCTTCAATGGTATGACTGGAATGAAGAGATTAACATTTGAGCCGCGTCAGGATAAAACCAACATAATGGATTTGCGACCAGCATGGATCCAGACCAGCCTGCGCATCCGCGCAGTCTGATCAGGATCCATGTTGTTCGCTATCAGTTTCTCTACTTGTTATAGGGTTGGTAAGCGAACAGCATGGATCCTGATCAGACTGCGCGGATGCGCAGGCTGGTCTGGATCAATGCTGGTCGCAAACCCACTATGTTGGTTTTGTCGTGACGCGGCTCATTTAATCATCGGATATAATTATTTAATATCTATATAAATGTAAAAAATGTAAAAGACTCTGAAAGTTATACAAGTGAAACTGATGTTTTTAGCAAATGTATTAGTATTCAATGAACAGCAACAAAACAAGAGAAAAAGAACACATGATGATGAACAAATGTGGTATGAACGGTTGAACAATCAGTAACTGCACGAAGTGAAATCCCAATAGAAGACATGAATTGAGATTTCTATAGTCCAAAATAACCCATATCAAATGCATATCACACCCCATGTAGCCACGTTTTCCTATTCAGAGTTCAACATATCTATATCAAATGCATATCGTACTCAATCTAGCCTCGTAATATTCATACCAAATTTTTTATTACTCAAGTCAAAATTTCAAACATTAGCTATCGCCTAGCTCGACATTATCTTATTCACGTTATCGGTGGAAGAATATTGTATGGAAGAATACTCCTACAAAACATTATTTTCTTGGGACAAACTATTTTTGACATTGACGGTCAAGGTCATATAAAGATCAAGATTGTAATAATATGATTTAACATACGGAATTTGTCATAATGTTTCTCTTGGTCAAGTATTTATCAAATCTATTAAAAATAACAAAGTTATGACACAAATTATTATCAAGGGCAAATCCAATTAAATCTTCTTTAATGTCTTGTCCTAAGGATTGCTGTGCCGAATTATAAAAAAAATCCATTCATTACTAAAACGCCATAGCCAATTGTCGAATAAAATGTGAAATTATAATAATTTGACCTTCAATGCCAAGGTCATTGACGAGTCAAGGTCATACTAATTTTGATCTTGTTTAAGAAAATGATTTGATGTAGTTGTGCTTAAATATGAGATTATCAAAGTTATAGGGAATTATAGCGAAAATCAAGCTAAATATAATAATTTGACATTCAAGGTCAATGCCGGTGTCCAAAAGATTGTTGTATCTAAATATAAAGACAATCCACATCCTTAACAATGTTACAGCCAATTACAGCAAGTATAGCAAAATCAAGCAAAAATCTAACATTTGACATTGATCTGCTTGAAGCTCAGTTTTGTCTACTTGAAGGTCTTTTTCAAATGTTGTTGTGTCCAAGTATGAAGACAATTCACTAAGAAATAAAACTGACGGCGATCGTTAAAGTTGTTGGCACAGGAACGGACGACATGACTGTAGCAAAAGCTTGAGTATTTTTGTTCGAAGAAGTCGAGCTAAAATGGTGGTGTGATATAAACATGTCATTATTCAATGATGAATTATTCTGATTATTCCCTGCAAGTTTAACATCTGTGTACTCGTCCGATAGAATTCAGTATTGTACTGAACAATGTATACATAATAATCACATAATATCGTAAATGATAGATATGTGAGATACATTTTTTTTTAAATTTCACAAAGTCATTACAAAACTTTACTAAATATAAAATCTGATACTTCTCGTGTATTCATTTGAAAATATTATTAGCTCTAGAACAATCATATTGGTTTATTTTTACAAATCAATCTTATACAGCAAAATAATAATAAGTTACTGTTCTAATGATTTGTCTTGGATTCTTTTGAAAAGCAGATTAATATCATTAAAACCTTTTGGCGTGTGATCTGAACTTGTTTATCTCCGACTCGTCTTCTGTACTTAAAATGTCCACTGAAAGTACAATCATATAGTTGGCCAATAAATAATGCGTTAACTCTACATACAATGTCCAGAGACAGTATCATCTTTTGATTGAAAAATAATACGATTTCCCTCCTTAAAATGCATTAAGTAATAATAATAATAATAATTTCACTTAGACCTACTTGCATGCCTTGCGATGCATATTGTGTTAACTGATCAACAATTTAATAATTAAGTTTAGGCCAGTTACTGTAAGACTTAACAAAAAACAAGGGGAGTGGTGGCCTTGTGGTTAAGGTGTGTGCCTCTCAACCCGTGGATCATCGGTTCGAGTCCTGTTCGGGTCACGACAATTAAGACACCAGTACTGATTGGTTCCATGAAGCGGACTCGAAAGCGATTAATATAAGTTGCAAGAACTAGTTTCGCAAACGAGCTTAAATAAATATGTTTAAACCAACAAAAAAACAACAAAACAAACACAAAAAAACAACAACAACAACAACGCGTGCATGAAGCATTTACATTTCCCATTGAAGAAATTGTTTCGAGATATTCATACGTTTTATGTTCAACGAGATTTCTTCATAGTAAGATTTTACGGCATGTTTGTAATATACGGACAGAGTAGTATAATCCATCTGTATTCTAAAGTAAATGATAGATGATATATAAAACAAGAGCTGTTGGTAGGACAGTATACTCCACTTTTGCCAGTGCTTTATAGTTACATGTAAACAATGATCCGGTTATGTGGAATTTTCTAAGCTCAAAAATGGCCATAATTCTGTCAAATCAGAGTCATGGGCCTTGGACGGTGACCATCTTAGTATACATGTATTATATTCTGGAAAGTTTGTGAAATTTCAGTACATTCCCTTCAGTACATTTGGACAACTTGCACGCAAAAACGTAACCAAAGTGTGACACTGGCACCTAGGTGAGAACAATAGCTCTGCTAGTACTCCGAATAGTCGAGATAACAAAAAACTACAAGCCACATACTTAAGGATGGGGGGGGGGTTGCAAAACGTCTCACTTTACATTACTACTGGGCAGATGTCCAGTGTTTCTTTTAACAGTTGGAAAAGAGAGTGTCAAATATCCACCGAGAAACACGTATCAATACCGAGAGAAAGGACGGATGAAGAAACGTTGTTCACGCCGAGCTACAGCGGCTGTTGTACGTGTATTACTTTTACTGTACATTGAGTTATGTTGACACATGTCATACATAGCATTAAAAAGATTTTAACAAATATATGAGCCGCGTCACGACAAAACAAACATAGTGCGTTTGCGACCAGCATGGATCCAGACCAGCCTGCGCATCCGCGCAGTCTGATCAGGATCCATGCTGTTCGCTTACCAACTCTATTACAAGTAGAGAAACTGATAGCGAACAACATGGATCCTGATCAGACTGCGCGGATGCGCAGGCTGGTCTGGATCCATGCTGGTCGCAAACGCACTATGTTGGTTTTGTCGTGACGCGGCTCAAATGTATTTAAAATACAATTCGCATTAACAGAAAAGTGTACAAAATGTTTACTGCTTTACCCAGAGGTGATAAATTACATGAAGTTCAACATTATACATATATATACTTATTGAATAAATACTTTAGCAAAACTAATAATGAATGTAAGAAACATCAAAATTCTGTCTCTACTAATTAAAATTCAAAATATCAACGCATAAACAGTACAGTGACGATCTTAAAGATAGGTGGTGCGACAATACAGTTTCATAACAAGTTCTTTGTAAGACTTAAAACTAGGTTTAATCAAGATAAATAACGTTTATTTAACTATGAAAAAGACTCACTTTTAACGTTTCAATCATGCATAAAATGAATTTTTAACGGTCTAGTCATTTATATGGGTGTTTGTAAAACTTTAATGAAAAAGTCAAACACACAACATGCAAACGTCGAGCTAGCACGTATGTACTTTTAAAAAAATGCAGCAAAAACCCGATGCCCCTGTTCTTTTCAAGCGGTACAATTTTCAAAACTCATACACTCTTATGTAACATAAAACAAATTAAATGCGTTTATGTATGTTTGTGGTGAATAATCTGCATGCAAAATAAATTGTAAATAAGTCGCAAAAATTGACTTACTTAGAAAATCAGCTGGATTGTAGCCCGATTCACAAGTATATCCAAGTTGTTGGAAGTACGGGAGAACGTGTTTACTTTCACCATTGTATAAACACTGTTAAAAAAGATACAATGAAAGTTTTATCAACATACAAAACAAGCTATTAGTATTCACCGGTGTAAAAACGAAGTCTAAGGACTTCCTTGTTTAAATAAATAAATAAATAAATAAATAAATAAATAAATAAATAAATAAATAAATAAATAAATAAATAAATAAATAAATAAATAAATAAATAAAATAAAATAAAAAAAGCAATTTTCCGGAGAAGAGATATTATGTTTGTTACCATGACTTATGGTCACACACAATTGTTGGAATTGTTCAAAGACCAAAGTTTTGTTGAAGCGTAGATGGTGGTAATAAAATTATATAATCTATATATATTACCACAACAATTAGCGACACGTATTTGATTAAAATAAATATTATATTCAGTGAAGTATTACATTCTAGATAAAGTAGATGATAATGTTCAGTTTCAAGTAGAAGTTTTAAATTTATGTTAAAAAGCTTTAAAATACATGCATATGATTAACCCAATTTTTGATACTTGCAAATGAGCTTTTTTTCATTTTAGATAAAACAAGTTTTTAATGCATGAGGTAGAAGAAAAGGCATACATATCCATCTGAGAGCAGGACCAATCTATCAAACATGTGGTACAGTTTGCTTGCTGGCTGGTGAATTGTGGTTATTACAAGTTTTTTGTGTATCTTGGCACTGTCATGGATACAGTTCATTATGTCACGAGCGGTTGTAGAATCTAGCCCAGACGTGGGCTCCTACAAGATAAAAAAAATATTTTGATATTACCACATTATTTAATGATGCAAGGAAATAGTATAGTAAATATAGGTTGTCGGCTTTTACAGCTTCCTATTAAAGATATCCAGTATATAGAAGTAAATGTGTACGACCCTTACAAAATAATATGAAAAAGCCTTTCAACTACTCCTAAATGTATGATACCTTACAAATATTTGGAATGTTTCGTTCTCTGGGTCAAACTTTAAACTGTAGTATTATTATAACACCAGAGTAATGGGCCCACACTGGAAATACTAAAAATGTTAAAAAAAACTGTATTTAACAAATGAAGAAAATATTATACATGTACGGAAACGTTAAAGGCCTCCACTTAGTGCGAACGATTGATTTTCAGTCAGGTTTATGTCACTTTTATACTAAATTTAACTAAAATACAAAAATATATAGACTTATCAAAATGACAATCATGACTGGTCAGTTTAATTGGTATCTAAAACCATATGTATGCAAAAAAGGTCATACATCTGTCATATGTTATTGTTTTCTGATCCATGCTATCCATGTTCAATATTTACCTTGCTCATCTTTTGCTAAAATGCTTTAAAATCAACTTTATGGTGAAACCAGAGCATATATTTTGATGTTCATAATTATACATTGTTTGTATACATTTTCAACCTTATAGATACTATTATAACATACTTACATCTAATAAGAGAATATCTGGGTCAGTCAGTAACTCACAAGCTATGCTAGCTCTTTTCTTCTCCCCACCAGAGAGGCCCTTCACGAACATGTCTCCTATCACTAACATAAAAAACCCAGATCAATTATTATACAATAATAAAGAAATATCTACATTTGCTAAGCTCATTTCAAATTACGCTATATATTTTTTTTTCATAACTTCAGGGTGGCTTTCTATAACAAAATTTGTAAATGTATACACATTAATTTCGTAAATTATGCAAGACATAATGCTTACTCTTACCATTGTATATACACTGTTAAAACAACATGCAATGAAAGATTTATTCATCAAACAAAAACATGCTATCAGCTAAAAATAAATAAAAATGCATGAACGATTAATATGTTATTACATAATCTGTTCAGTCAGATGTGCTGATTGTTAAGGGTCGCCGACCATAGTTGTGTGACTGTATTTGAACCATATACACGTGAACCGCAAACCTAATTATTAATTATAGCCATTAAAGTTTTACTTTTTATTGTTTATTTACATGAGAAATCTACATTTCTGAATCCGGGATCAAGTCAAATCAAATACAACCAAATCAAAAACTGTTGTACAATATCAAACGTAGAAAATCTGTAATATAACAGTAGAAACTATGTTGCATAAATGGTCAAATTGGTGCTTCTACAAAAAAAGAAAGAAAATAGGTTCTCGCTATATATGAACAATTGAAAGGCCCAAGTAATCGTTTCTCTTTAAACCTTAATCACAAAATAAATTAAGGTAACCACTAGCTTTTTTTCAAATAAGTAATTAAATACAATTTACCAGTGTTCAGGCATTTTGTTAGACGAAGAGACTGTACGATTTCATCTATCTCAGCTTGTTTCTGGCTAGCCGATGTGCTCTCCGGCATGCGGATGTTTGCTGTAAACTGAAAGGCAATTTTGGGGGTATATCTTATGTTATATGTACATAAGTGGTATACAGACATAGAAATTACAATCTACTTATATTAAAAAAGATTATACTATGAATGTTTTACGATGCTTGAACTTTTATCAGATGTTTTTATCGTCTAGCAACATGCAGTCTAAGTAGGCAAATTGCATTTAACGATCAGAAACAATTTTATGACTTTTTATCATTTGATAAGTTTGCATAATATCAACCTGAAAACATGAATTGTACGAATGTTAATTCAACTTAACTTTTATTTGCACTTTCGGGGGGTGGGGGGGGGGTAGTTTGTTAAAGTTTGGTATTTGAAAATGGATTACACGATACGGCCTGTCTGGAATACGAATCTTTGAAAAATATTTCCTTATATCCTAAAACACCATGTAATCACTTCTGTTCATTGTGACATTTGAGCATACAATAACATGACTTGTCCCCGGACAGCATGCTCCACTTATCATGTATTATGAATAAGAAGTAGTAAAAAGGAATCATATTTCTGTAAAAAAGGGTTACCTGACTTACATGCCCATGATAGTGAACAACTATTTCAGGTTTGACATGTATGCCTTTAAAGGATTTTGAAGAGAATGCAAATGTTCTATGTCAAAAAGGAAAATATTAATCATTTTTTTTTGTGAGGATTATCTACGACTCGGCAAACTATCATTCTTGTTTATCAGACAGGCTTATCTGCTGTTTACACCAGCAAAAACCTGTCTTACACCCCGTCCAAACCCTACCCCACACCACTGTGACAGACAAGTTGCGTGCTTTTAACGGCATTTCCGTTAGCAATTTACGAACGAATTGACATCATTCTACAATTATGAAGAAAATATTATTTTTTGAAATATGACTATATGTAATATGCACGGAAAAGAATCAAAGACACGTTGTCGTTACAGACGGGATTCTCTAGCTCTTGGGTAATCGATCGCAGATGCAAACAGTTACTCTCGAGGCTAGAAGATTCGGTCTGTACTGGCCACAGGAGCTTAAAATTCTATCAATATTAACGCTAATATTCAAGATATATCCCCTATATAGTATATTTTTACTATATTTGGGTTATTTTTTAATATTGTCGTTAATATTGATACAATTTCAAGTTCCTGAGGTATCGGCAGCTAGTACAAGAATCATATACTCTTAACCTTTTCTTGTCAACCGATTGTTCATAAAAATAGCATTGAAAACTTGTACAGTCACCTAGAGCGTATGCATCATAATTTTACCTGTAATGTTTCTATCAACGTTAGCTGTGAGAAGAAGACGTCTTGCTGCTGTACGAGAGCCAAGCGTCTACGTAACCTCTTGTCGAGCGTCTGCCCATTTAAAGTAATCTTACCGCTGGTAAACTTTTGCCGCCCGGATATTAGGTTGAGCAAAGTTGTTTTTCCTGACCCTATAATTGAACAGACTAATTAAACATATATCATAATGACTAGTAATTTTTCATTTTTTCACAAACAAACAAAAAATTATTAAAAAAGTAAGATACAACCAACAGAGGGATTTACCGGATGCAGGATCCTGCAACAATTAATATACCCCATCATCAAGTTCTTGCATCCAATTTGATGCACGAAATATATAAAGACTGGCTTCATATTATAAAAAGTCAAGAAACACACATTTTGTTGCATGTAACATAAGTATGACTTGTGTTTAGCAAGGAGTTGGTCTCCTGAAATTTGTTGTTGCCTGTTGGACATCGTGAATGAATACATTAAATGATAACTCTTGTTATTTCGGTAATTGAGGAATTTGAGGTATCTAATTAAAATTCAATTCATTTATATCAGATGGTTTAGTCACGCATAATAAATATTTTACAATAAATACAACAGTAAAATTTGCGTAAAAAGGCAAACGTGTTTATATGAACATAGCCTGAAAGCATTAAGCAGACGGTATGCGATACCTTTAAAGATGTTGCCATAGTAACGTTTAAAGGTGAGCGGATAAATATATACATGGCGTTTATAATTGTGTTTCACAATACATGTATGTATTTATACGGGGGGGGGGGGGGGAAAGCAATGTACCGTTGCATTTCTAAATTCACAGTAACAACAACAAATTTAGGCTTATTAACACGTATTCTATATCATTAAACTAAAACTATATACATGTACCATGTGCATGATGTGTATTCTCTAATTGTCACGACGAATGTAATATTATTTATATACATACACGTTCACAAAAAAATTGACTGGCGTAATTCACAATATATGTACAATAAAAACAACAAACTTTAAGTTTATTAACATGTATACAGTGTCATTTACTAAAACATTATACAGCCATGTATTCTCTTTTGCTGTTCCTACAAAAGGTAGATCTAATACTATAATACATGTACAAGATAAGCAGTATTAACTTATTAATATAATAACACACATAGAAGATAAATAGACCAACCTGTTGGGCCAAGAATGGCGAGTATTTCTCCATTTTTAACGCTAAAAGAAACGCCATTTAGAATGCTTTTATCCTTGCCTTTATCTTTTATTTTGAAAAATACTTCTTTAACAGCTAGTTCTAAATGCTTTACCTCAGTACACATGTTTACATTCTTCAATAAACTATAGCCGTATGTAGAATACGAAATCAATACCCTACTTTACAATTTACCGTCTGCGTCTGAAATTCAATGTTCCGTGACGGAAAAAAGTCATTAATGCGGTAAATAAACTGAATTGAATAAATGTTTGTTTAAATTAGACAAATAGATGGTGTCCGCAGTTTTTGCCAAACTGGATGCGAAATACTGTGTACAAAATATATTTTATATAGACTATCCGATTTCACACAAGAAATAGATTAATCCAGTTTAGAATGTAATGGTTCGATAATATCACATTTACTAAAAAGTAAAATTATTAAAAGTTAGAAATAAATAAATAAATAAATATTTCAAACATGATGTTAAATTCAACACTCGTCGGTTATATTTTACTACTGCTCATTCAAACACCAATGGCCTAATTTTACAATTCATTATCGTTATAATCAGTAAAAGACAGCATTACATGTGAATTTAATTTGTTCATAATGGAAAGCATGTAATACTATAACTAACCATGTTGATTGTATTTAGTTTCATATACAAGACAACACACCACGGAAGAATTATATACATGAACCTTGTTGGTTAGTGTGAGATATATGAATCTATACATAATAGAAGATAAACTGTTCTAAACAGAATATCCTCGTAAATACAAAATCTCCTGGAGCTCTTTGCGCAATTTTATTTCAAGGAATATTTTGTAACAATATATACAAATAATACATTTCTATTGCTTTTATCAATGTCAAAAATACAATATGGAAAATGTGCCCATTGACCAACTGCCTTTTAATAACTTCTTGATACTCGATGAAATCGACTTATATTGATAGTTGCCTATACAGTCTTTCAATGCAGAAGTCATTATTCTTTTAAATTTATGGAGTTGTTCTAGGCAGTGCTACATGCAAAATGTTTATACTTTAGGTCATATTTAGTTTCACAAAAGTCGATTTAAATGATATTTCCTATAACAGTCTTATAATTTAGTCACCATAGGGCGGAGGCACAATTTGTACTTATATATGTTAATGAGAGAAACGTAATAAATAAGCGAAAGCCCAGGTGGCATTCCTGTTAAGTTTGTCGACTCTAACTCAGGTACTTTTAGAGCTTCACGTGCAACAACAATTTTGGACGGACGCATTCACGCACGAACGAGGGCAAATCTAAATGCTTTCCCTCTAGATTGGGGGCATTAAAAGTGACCACACAAAAGAAATTTTTGGCATGATTTATAAAACTTGATTAGAATTGCGCAAGACAATTGTCCATGCCAAATATCTAAGCTTTCAGATAAGAGGATTTGAACACCTCTATGTAAGCCTAAATGTCCACAGGGCGGGGCTAAGTCTGACCCCTGCGGCATGATTTATGTACCTTTTGTTGTTTTCTATAAACATTAGACGCACATAAATAGTGTACTGTTTACTTATAGATCTATATCTTTACTTACTTTAGACGGGCTTTTACACGATATAATGGACTAAACTTAGTCAACAACTCTACACAGTTATTGATTAATTGCCTATACACCAAAAGTATACCGTATTTATATACCACTATGTTGATGCCTATCCGGAGGTTGACGGAAAGGGCCGTAAATTTACTAATCTAAGAAGCATCAGGTAACCTCAGTTTGATTATTGCTAGATGTTATAGCATTTAGTGATATTTGTATCCTCAGCTCTCGAATCTAATGTATCACGTAGACTTTCCTCGAATTGTTTTCGGGTCGCGAACGACTCTCATTTACGGAGAGGAAGGAAACAGGAAGAAATTTGAAGTCGGGCAGAAATTTTTCAGGAGCGGTCTGTGATTATTTTTCTCTCCAAATAACAACAACAAAACATGTGTGCTACATCTTGCGAACAAAATATTAATGTAATTAATTTTTTTCAGGGGCGGACGTTAACTTTTCCCCAAAAAATAATACAAAACATGTGATATACGTATAGTGTCTGTACTTCAATAACATAGAAGTAATAAGTCAACACGGTATCGAATTTCTGCTATAATCATAGGTTTTACATAAGCACTATCAAACTTAGGAATATATCTAAATAATGTTTAATGCGTAACCTTAGCTTAGTCAGTTCCAACTGAAGTTACTAAAGCGACTCTGATCATCTGCCTATTTAAAGGGAAATTCACTATACTAAACATAATTATACTTCTCCCTTAGCCTCGGCATGTACACGTCGTAGAGAAGGCACAGGACATCGGCAGAAGATTTGGAGCTTGTCGGACTTTTCACCAAGACCACGTTGACTGGTTAAGATCCAAGCGCTATTGTCGTACATATAGGGTAAACAACCCCTTCGTCACTGGGGAGTTAACCTTCTATCCGCTGAAGATGTCCTGACTACAGCCGGAGGGAGTGGCCCTTCAGTGTAGGCAGGGACGACGAGGAAAGTGTACTAGGGTGCGTGTGCCCCTAGAAGAGAGAGTGACGGCTTAAAAATCAGGCATAACAGCCCTTTTCAAGGCTTCCTCCTTTTGATATTTCTCAGTTCACTGTACATTAGGGTTCTCATTGGCTGTCGTGCAGTGACCTACTTTTGGCTCTGGAAATTGAATGGAGGTAAATAATCACAACTTTGTGCTTTATAAACTCCTTTGTGACATGTCCAGGTCCACACTCGACAGCGAAAGCTGCTTTTTTGTGCCTTAAAGGACGGATGAACTCTCAATAAACATAGAAAACATATATACACTTAACATACATGTATATCTGAGCTATTATAAGATTAGATTAATACAAACTTCGCTGTTATTTTGATTTCTTGCGTTTATAACAACACATGCATCAATTATGTGCATTTAATTACATGTTCGTATTTGTAAAAATTACAACAATTCGCCTACTATGGTGTCAGGAACTTTAAATAATTATAATAAACAATATTTTAATTTCCGGCTTCTTCAAGACAGGATGCATTAATTAATAATCGTATCTACATAGACGACCATAGAGATTTTATTAAAGATGTGCTACATTCCACGAACAATAAATTTATTTTATGTGGCCTCAGATACACAAGTCGGAGCTATGTAAGGTATTTATGAACTGTGACAAAAGTTAAACTACTGAGCCAATGAGATTGATTTTATTTCTAAGTTTTGACTTTGGTGATTTAAATTTCATGAGAAAAGAGGCGTGATTTCAGTAGCAATAACTGAGCGCCTTCATATCACAGACCATACCATAACACGTGCTGCCGCATGTGATATTTACGTTTATTATATGATCTAAATATAGCTGCAATCTCATTGGTCCAAACTGTAGTCAACATATTTACTGGCTGAATTGGGTTTTCCACGTCTAAAAATAGATTGAGACCCCATACACCGTAGACTGTTAAATAAAAAAAAATTGTTGCGTGTTGTTCTTTAATTAAAATATCATTACTTTACTATTTCACTTAAAGGCTACACCGCAATGATGAGTATGAACTTGAATTACTTTTGTATGCGCAGGGTTCCCGTGCGCACGCCTAACAAGTGCGTCAATTTTCCCGCGCTTCAACGAGGCAAAATTTGTACATGTATATAAGGTTGCACTTTTTTGTAATTTTTGTTTAATTCTTAGCCTGTTCATATAATAAAACAATTATTGACTAGTGAGCCATTGAATATGATGTGATATTCACCGGCAAAAAAGTCATATTGATCTCGGCTATCGCCTCGGTCAATATGCCATCTGCCGGTGAATATAACATCATATTAAATGGCTCACTATAGTCAATAATTGTATAATATATACTGCACAAAGTACAGATCAGTGTTTGTTAGTTATCACAGTAGTGATAAAACATTTATTTGCTCTCCGTATTTTTCTACTACCAGTAAACATATCAAACAACTATCGATTGGTAAACGTTTAACAACTATTATCTGGCGGTGTCTGTACAAGACGTGTTGCCATGGCAATACTACAAAATGTATTAAATGTGATGAAAATAAATTCTTATTTGTGAAATAATAGCAGCTGATTTAAATGTTTCCTCCAAGATATATAGTAGATATACAAGGACCTAGATAGAATAGTTCAATAAACTTGACGGTTTGTGGACAAATATAGCTGGTCACACATGAGGAATTTTAATAAAAGAAATATAGCTGTAAGAATGGGCATTGTTAGTTAATTAAGAATAGTTTGCCTAATCATTTTTGGGCCGAAAAGGTTGCTGGATTAACAATTCTTTCCTTTCTGTCAAAATAATTCAAAATAGAATATCACATTACATGCTTTTATTTTCTTTGACTGTTTGCAAACAAAAAACAATACACAAGAAACAAAAAAGTAATATAAACAATTATATTTCCATTATACATGATTTGTAAAAAAAATAAATAAAAGTGTACCATCACCATGTGAAGTAAGTAAAGGGAAATAATAAAATCTGGCACATAATTTTAAATCATCAGTTTTGATTGGATAATTTATCAAAATGATAGTTATTTTAAACAACAAACCCATCCTATTTCTTCATTTATCATTAAATTCTTGTGAAGCCTGGGTGAAGTACAGTTTCCGAAACAATACAAGAACTCTTGCAAAACACTAGCATTTTTAATACTAGTAAATAATAACTGTATAGCTCATAAATTCAAAGGCCCTTAATTTTGATGTCATTACGCCACAAGGAATTTTGCTTATTAACATCATTTGTAGGTGTTCTTTTATGAAGTGCTATCTACATGTATATAAGACTCTTAATGTGTCATAAATTGCTGACCGATGATGCTTTTTAACAAATAACTTCTGTAATCAAATCAAGAGACAGGTATACAAGGCATTTAAGGAAATACTTAAAAAATAAATATATTTTACTATATAAGCATACTGGTTTACATGTATATATACACTGTGCATTTAAATACTTAATTGTAATGTATAAGAATATGCTGTCACAAAAACAATTCTAATCTTTCTACATTTAATGTATCATAAACTCAACTTAACAAAAAAACATCCATACATTCATTTTGACTTAAACAGCGACTAAAGTAAACATACTAATTAGAAGTATCAAATATATATATATATTATACA